CTACGGATCAGAAGATGGAGAAATGCGGAAGAGAATAACGCAGGCAAACAGCTTATTTTGCCCTCTCCCATTTATTTCGGTCTAAAAATGTCCACCCGAAATACAAAGATGAGAATCTATAAAACCTTAATTCCACCAATAGCATTCTATGGCTGTGAAGCATGGGTTCTGAAAGAAACATCTAAAAGCAAACTCGATATATTCGTAAGGAAAGTATTGAGGAGAATACCTGTGAGGGAAAACGGAATCTTCAGAAGTCGATACAAAACCAGGTTTATCAACTTTATAAGGAAGCACCACTGTCAGACTTCAGTTGAATACAAAGATTGCAATGGACCGGACATGTGATAAGAATGGGAGAGGATAGGTTACCAAAAAGAGCACTGAATGCTAGAATGCAGGGAAAGAGATCGGTTGGAAAGCCAAGAAAGCGCTGGGAAGACACAGTAAATAGCGACGCACAAGCCCTTTTAGGAGTCCATGTATGGAGAAGATCAGCCACAGACAAGCAAAGGTGGAGGCAAAAAATAAAGGAGGCCAAGACTCAATTTGGGATGTAGTGCCGTAGAAGAAGAAGAATAATTGTTGAATTGATCACTGAGAAAAATAATAAATTCCAGAACACTATCACACAAGGCAATCTAAATTTTATTCGAAAAATATATGTGCTTAGTATTATTATCCACAAAATAAATGTTTGAAGATATTTTTGAAACCCAAAATCAGATTAACTTTAAACATAAAGAAGAGTATCTGCATCTAAACGGAGTATGGATCTCACAAAATATAAAAACTCTTTCTAAGTGAGCGCTCACAACGAGACGCCGACCCTCGCTCCGATCATCGATCTCCAGGTAAAATAAATGAGTTACTTTAAATGCGAGCATTCACTATCACTGCTATGCTCTAGGCGAAGATACGATGCGATGGTCTCCGTTATGAACATAGCCTTAAAGACTACCATAATTGCAATGCTGATTTGATCCAGCTAACAGCAGTAGCGGATCTAGACATTTGCCTTGAGAGGGAAACTTCCAACTTGGAGGGGGAGGAATAACTTTCAGGTTTTTTTTAATTTTTGACCTTCTGGGGCGAGGGGAGATTTCACCATTTCCTCCGTGTATCCGCCCCTGACTAACAGTGATGGATTATGTAGAATTTAGATTAAAAATATCGTAAAAATGATGTAATATCTTTTTGTCCTCTTCAAATATCTATTATTATAAAAGATATATTTAGACCTCACGGCAATACTTCTAATCTGACTTCTACTATTGTTATATGCCGTTGTTTTGATATGCAACTTTAATGTAGATTACTATAAAACTGAAACAAAAAACAAGCTTCTAAGCATAGATATATGTTTACAGTAACATTTACATAGAAACGAATTTATGTATTGCACTTTTTCATTGCTCTCTAGATCTAACAATAACGAATAAAAACCTAAAATATTACTTCTAAAATTGGATTAAGTTAAATTTAATAATCACCTTTACAGGTTGGTCTGAAGCTATTTTAGACCCTTTTTTTGCATAAATTCAATATTTTTGTAACTAAAAATATTTTGACGATATCCTCAGACATATGGATTTATATTTTGGATTGCGCATCAGTTTGTATAATTTGACATACTGATGGCATCACCTGACATACACTCATATGCTTTTAATACTGGCATCCGGAGAGCATACGAAGGAATTATTAAACCATTTACATCAACTTCATATTTGTTGAGCCAGTCAGCATCCTCAAGCGATGTGTTATTGTAGCGCACAATGCAAAGAACCTCATTTGCCCTTTTGGCATCGAGTCGCTGTAGGGTGCACTAGTGTGGGATGTGAAATAGATCCTACTGGTTGCACATATTCTTTTCTTGAGGTCAAATTGTAGTAATGGATAAAAGAAATCGTAGAGCACCTGTTTAAACGCTTTCAATGGAGGCGACAGATCAAATTAAAACATTACAAGAAGTAGTGAAAACTTACATAATCCTTTATCTAATTGACTAAGTACAACGAGGTTACTTGAGATTTGAGAGATTGGACAGGCTGACTGCAGGAAATCCAGAAAGATATATTTCAATGCACTCCTGGAGTGTCAAGAGCAGCATTCGTCCGCACATTTAATCTTCTTCTTCTTATGGCGCTACAACCCTTTGTGAGTCTTTGCCTGCTTAACAATGTTCTTCCATTCTGCCCTGTCGGATACTTTCCTTCGCCACTGCCTGATGTTCATGGTTTTAAGATCTCTCTCTCTACGTCGTCTATTTATCTTTTACGGGGCCTTCCTCTTGTTCTGTTTCCTTGGGGCTTCCATCTCTGGACTACTTTTACAGCTCAATTATCTGGCGTTCTTTCTAGGTAACCAAGACAGTTTACTCTTTGTGACTTTACAAATCTAACGATATTAGCGCTGTGCTTTAGTTCATCCGGATCGTGGTTCATTTTACTTCTCCATGAACCATCGCTGCATTGGATTGGTCCAAATATCTTCCTTACTACCGCGCATTTAATCACTTGCAAGAAATATTGTGATTAACATATGTAAGTACTATACCGTGCAAGATTAAGTTCTGCTAGATCCCGAAAGCTACCATCAGGCTTCCTGTATTCTGTTGACAACAATATTTTGGGGCCATTTTTATGGAAGGAAATTTTACTGCAGAAAAATATTTAGAAATGCTTCAAAACGATATTAAATATTTCTGCAATCGTTGCAATCCAAATTTGCCTAGTAATTTGATATGGTTTCAACAGAATGGCGCACCACCCCATTATGCGATGATAGTGCGTAATTATTTGAATACTATTTTCACAACAGATGTATAGGTAGGCGAGGAAGTGTAGAGTGGCCAGTAACATCTCCTGATTTAGCTTTCCTTGATTTTTACTTTTGGAGTTATCTCAAAATCTAGAGTATACATAAATAGACCAGGGAATATTAAAGAATTAAAAGAAATAATTCGAAATGAAGTAAGACTCATTATACCAGAAACATTAAATAGAGTTTTAGAAGAATTTCAATACCGCCTTGATTATTGCCAGGAAGTAAACGGCATGCAGATTTAACACTTAACAGGACCAAATTGTAGTATAATTAGTAAAAAAATTAGCTCTTTAAGTTTTTGGTCCAAAATAAATGTTTTTAAACGATAACTATTGATATTTGTGCTAGTACGGATACCCATGTTCTAGAAGTAATATTTCACAATAGTAAATTTTATGTTATCAACTTCAAATAAATCAACAATATTCTACTAACACATTTTTGATAGTCTTATCGTAGTCATAATTATCGACAGCATCGTCTACATTTCTAACAGTACGAATTTTTATTTATAAAGATGTTATCACATTACTGTTACTTTTTATAAATAACGTGTCAACAAAAGTACTCAAAACTTTTACCCAAGAAATTTGGTAAATCAACCTAACAGTACAATCAGTATAAATCACAAAAGAAATGAATACAGCTTAAAGATCAACATTAACAAGACGTAATTTATGATCGTGAGCAGACAACACTACCAAACATACCTTATAGATGACTATCCAACTGAAAGAGTTGAGATTTTAAATATCTTGGTTCCAGTCTCTCTAGCAAGCGATAATGTGATCATAAAATTAAAATAAAAGCAGTTTTTGCTAAATCGCAGATGCCTTTATAGCATTCTTTTGTTCTACCCGTATATTATTTTAATTCACGTGTTACAAATCATCGAAAGAGAAACACCTGAATACCAAACGAAAAGACGTCTAAATGTTTGTTTATTCAGTCTTAACTGCATCGAATAAAGGCAACCGCCTCCTTTCTTTTAAATAGTTTTATCTGTAAATATCTTGTTTGTACTTAACGCTTTCAGAATGGTGTCTCTAAATCGTCGATATAAATAAACATAGTCCAATTTGTTTGCATTGGAAAATGTTGTTAGCAGTGTAATATGTTTGCATGCATTTGCCAGATATCTCTAAGCATAGCTCGTTGGGAACTTTTGCCGCTGAGAGGGCGTGGAGATCGCTGAGAAACAATTTTTTTGTAGAACACTTTTCGTCTGTGCAACAAAAATACCGATGGTTGGGCATACGAAATGGTTCCAGTTAACAGCATTTTACTTCGCCGGTAGAGGCTGGAGACTATTGCCTGGCAGTAATATTAAGAAGAATATCATCATCATCACCTAGCCCTTTGCGTCCCTGTGTCCAAGGTATATGTATTTTTCCACCAGCTCTACTTCGTTGTCTCCAATATTGATATTTTCCAATGGAAGTTCAGTCAAACTAAGATCTCAAATTATTTAATCAGGAGATGCGTCTTCTTCCACGACTACTTATAGTCTGTATCTCCTTGTATTATTAATTGCAGCAAGTTAATGCTCGTCGCTCATGACTTCTCCCATAAATAGAAATTTTCTAATTTTATTAGTATTGAAGGTCCCTTTCATTTTTTCCATTCTTCTCAACACCTCTACATTGATGACTATATCCACCCAACTTATTCGTAATACTCTTCTGTCGGTCCATAATTCGAAGGCTTTCAATCTACTTGAAACGTCTTTCTTTAATGTTCAAGTCTCCAACTCATAAAATAATATGGAGAACAAGTAGCATCTCAGAACTCTGAGAGTTAGAAATATATTAGCCTTGGATGGACCACGAACTGTTGACTATATTAAAAAAGTACTTAAAAGTTTTTTATAGGATATTCCCTTCTGAAATTTATACTTACTGGCAATATTTAGAATAATTTTGAACCAGATAGAAAACTGCATTCCTAGCTAATAAACTAGTATAAAGAGTCGCAGACGCTACTTCCATTTTACAATTTGACTAAGAACAGTTAATTGAACAACTAAAATACCTCTACTTTTCCAAGAGTACGATAACAGACAAAAAGAAAAAGTTGTTTTTATTTTTTTATATCTGTATTTTCTGCTGTTATTTCACTAACCAGTAAGTTTTAAACAGTTTTCTTAACACGTTATATTTGTAAGTTTCAAATTACTGCTTCGTACTATCTCCTCCTTCTACCGTATCACCAGTACCACCCGTGCTTATGACATTTGGATCAGTGCTGTATTGTTGGTTGGAATCATTAGGATCAACGGCGTACTGCTGGTTAGGATCATTAGGATCGTACTGTAAGTTGGGATCATACTGTTGATTAGGATCGTACACCTGATTTGGATCGTACGCTTGATTTGGGTCGTATTCTTGGTTAGGATCATACTGTTGGTTAGGATCGTACTGTTGGTTTGGGTCATATTGTTGGTTAGGATCGTACTGGTTAGGATCATACGTATTAGGATCATACTGTTGATTGGGATCATATTGGTACTGGTCATCTACAGTTTGAGGAGGATATTCATAAGATTCTGCTGGTGGATTAGAATTATCTTGATTTATTTGAACGGGCTGTTGTTGCAATGAAAGTTTGTCTTGACTGTTTTGTCTGGATGACATAGACAGTTGATTAGGGTCGGTTACATTTGTTGGTTGAAGCTCTGGTTTAGCCTCTGGTGGTTCTGCCTTAGTAGGTTGAGCTGATTGGGCTGGCTGTGGCGTGGGGCTAATTGTTTGTGAAGGGTTTCGAAGTTGTGGAGGTCTTTCAATGTTTGTTGGAGTATGTTCTTCATCTATAAACATATTTATTAGACACTTTGCGCAATAGTTTAAAACAAATATAAGATATAGGCAAATTTAAAAAAGTACCTAATCAAAATGGTATGCATTATAATTTTAAATGTTAATAACATATAAAGCATGCTTTTGTGCAATAATATATTTAAATGTGTGAGTGCTAGTTTGTCTAGCTCATCTAGACGTAAGCCCAAAGCAGATCTATTAGCTTGAAGTTGTATTAAAGAGCTCAAATAATTTGTATAAAGTACTGGAGATATTCAGAAAATAAACAATTCAAATTTTGACGATCCAAAAAACGATGATTTAGTAAATGTTTTATAAATTATTATTATTATTATTCACTCAATGCGGGTGTTGAACTGAACACTGGCTGAAGGCTGAAGAAGAGACGAAGCTGGAACTGATTACTTGAGAAGGTAACAACAGAAAATACCAGCGTACAATAATGACATAAGGTACTACCACTGCTTTCCACCACTGATAATAATGGTGGGGTGGAGAAAAAAACAGTTAAAGTAGGTACAAGTAGAAGATATATTAGGGGAATGTGTTACCATCTCTTCTGAACTTTTGTAAATATTCTTACCTTATTTTTTGATCTTTATAATTGTAACAAATGGTCTTTACATAAATATGTAGATTCTACGTTTACAAAACGTAGAATCTACGTATCTGCAAGTAGTTTTATATAAGAGCAGAGCTAATCTTGAAGCATATTCAAATAACAATTTCAAAAGAAAGGATCTCCAAACGTTTGTAAACATCTTTGCAGAAGATTTTGGGGAATATTTTTTAGATAAATATAATTGCTTTATGTGATAGTTGATAAAATAATGGACCAAAATAAAGGAAAAAAATGAGATTACTAATTTGTATAATGAATGTAATACAAGATATAACGAAGAAGATACAACGAATTTACTGCTTATTATTTAGTGGAGCATACGCTAATACCACAACATTAAGTATGAAACTCTTGCGTGAAATCTTGGGAAGCTGGAGCTTCTTTGTAGCTTTAATAAATCCTACAGTAGCATAATTACCCACAAAAAACTTTTGATCTTTTTGAGAGTTAAGCGATATGACACAGGAAGAAATGTTCGTAAATGTAGAGCAGGAAAAAGATAAAAAAGTGAATTTGTGATAGATGTTAGTCTTGATATTAAGGCCATACGATCTGCTTTGAGCAAATTGCAAATAAGAGAATAAAATAAAGGTACAATGAACAAAAATGTGAACGATTTCTAAATTTTTGTTGCCTTTGTACCTTTAAAATTGGACGTTGAGAACTGTGACTCACTAAACTTATTTCTCAAACATTCTAGGTTAGTTTGTAGTTCCCGTATTTCCTCCCTATAAACAACATATAATTATAAAACACATAAACCAGCTAACAATTTATGTGACACATTAGTACAATATCATAAATGGTTCGTTAAAATTAGTTTTCCGAAAATTCATCAAATATCATCATTAAAAATTATAATTTATAAATATGTATATATTTTACGTTACACATATTTGGCACCCAACGTGGGGCCTTTTGTGTGAAAAACATTTTATTATACATTTTAAAAAATAAAATAATTCTTAAAAACATTTATTTTTGTTTAGAAATTAGAAAATACTTTTTCTTGGTCTGCTAGTACTTCTTCGACCATTTGGTGACTTATCTCGTGCTATTCGTTCTATCGTATTCTCTGCCATTCTACTAATGTGTTCGTTCCACTCCTGTTTCCGTTTTGTCACCCATCCATTTATGTCTTCTATATTGCACGCTCTTCTTATATTTTTCCTTCTCTTCCTATCCAACAGATTTTTCCCTGATACTCGTAGAAGTATTTTCATCCCTGTTGTTTCTAGTAGTCGTCTTGTTTTAGATGTGTCAGGTCTTGTCTCTACCGTGTGTGTTTATATAGGCCTAGTTGCTGCTTTATAGTCTTATTTTTGTCTTGTCTTAGGTGTTTGTTCTTCTATCTAGATTGTGTCATTAAAATATCCCGCCGCTTTACTTGCTTTTAAGCTTTGCTGTCGTACTTCTTCTTTAATCTCCGTAACTAGCTATATCTATTCCCATCTTGCTTCCTGCTTTATTATTTCTCCATGAATTTCGATTTTACATCGTAGTGAGTATTTAGATGTTGTCATACATTTGGTTTTTTCTGCTGATATTATCATATTGTATTTCTTGGCTGTTGTATTGAATATGTGTGTTAATCTTTGGAGCTCGTCTCGTGTCTCAGCGATTAATGCGACGTCGTCTGCATAACATAATATTTAGATTTCTTCGTTCCCCATTCTGTAACAATTACCTTTACGTACTGCTTGTATTATTTCGTCCATTGTTATATTAAAGAGAAGTAGACTTAACGAGTCACCCTGAGTGACTCCGCTTTCTACTGGTATATACTGTGTTAGTTTTCCATTTCTCTTTGTTTGTACTCGATTATGGAAGTAGATGTTTTCGATGGTTTGTATAATATTGATTGGTATGTTTCTTTTATACAGAAGGTGTAAAACATTTTCAACTTGGATGCGATCGAAAGCCTTTGTCAATTCTATAAAATATAGATAACAAGGATTTAGATCTTCCTGATGCGAATCCTTGTAGTTCATCTTATAAAGTTATTATTTTATTGATTTTGTTGGTTAGGACTTTTGTGGTAAGCTTATGTGAGGTGTTCAGTAGATTTATACCTCTATAATTGTTGAGATCTTTTTTTATCTCCTTTCTTGAACATTGGTATCATTATGCTGTTTCTCCATGCGTCTGGTATCTTGCAGTGCATTTTATATAAGTTTTTTCATCTCTAGGGTAATACTTTCTCCGTGTTTTAGAAGCTTGTTGGTTATTCCATCAGGTCCTGGAGACTCTATTTTTAAGTGAATTTATGGCTATCTCTACTTCCTGAAAACTGATTTCTGTTTCGTATTTAGGTACGTTATTGCATCTTATGTTTAAGAACAATTACTTTCATTATTTGACGTGATCAGCTTCTGTCAGTATTCATTCCTCTTCGATATTTTTTCGTCTTTTTAAAAATCCTTACGCAATCACGCAATTTTGATTTCGCCTATGTAATTCTTAAAATTGAACCATTCTCGAAGATATTGTTGACCTTTTGTGAATACTGGGTTAGAACCAAATGTTAACGATTAGCGAGCATTATGACTATTGAAAAACTTTGTATTATTTGTTTAAAACCATGTCGAATCTGTCACATATTAAAACCATGTCTTCAAGTTATTTAGCCAGTAGATTCTGTTTATTCCAGAGCTCCGTCAGATAGATATTTTTCTTTGTATCATTAGTTTTAAGACCCTTAACATAACTATAAAGAAGTTAAATTTGTATGATGCAATAATGAGGAAATATTGAGGTGATATATGCAGTGAAGTTAAAGCGGGTCAGATGAAATCGAACAAGACGAGTTGTGTGTTGTGACGGAAAGATTCTTTTAAAACTAAAAGGAAATGAACATGCTAAGATAGACGCGAGGAGTGATAAAAAAGGAAATTAGGAATAAATGTATTTGGGAAAGTATAAAGTGGCACTGATTGATGGCAAAATCAGAGAGAATAGGAAAATTTCTAGGTAGATTTCCATAGATAGATCCTGCTGGCAATATGATGGAAAAACTAAAGAAGAATTGGTGAGAGATGTTTAGGCAGGATATGTTTCCATGTTTGTGAAGCGGATTGATATTGGTCTGAAAATAAGACAGAAATTTATAGAGAAATGTAAATAAGGAAGCCAACCAAGCATTTTTTTATATTTTTTTATGGGATCATAATCTCGTCTTATGAGTTATCGCGATGGTAAATCCTTATAATGTTTTGAGCTTTTAGAATGGATGTTTCTAAACTTTACTTAAAAAAAAACCATTCGTCAAAACAATATTCATAAGTATATATTTTACTTGGACAATAAAATATAATTAATACATTATAAATAGTATTTTTATATATATGAACTTTATAGGATGTTCAGTTTGGTACACGTAAAATGTTAGCTGGGGACACACAGTCAATTTTATTATAACTACCTGTCTATCATCCTTAGACTCAACGCGGCTGTTTGTCAGTTGCTTCAGATAATCCCAAACGTTTTCTAATCGTATCATAAGTTCGATATTGTTGGCTCGCAAGTTTGACCTGTCAATTCTAAGTGTATAAAGATGTTGAAGAGATTAAATTAATGATAAAAATTAAACAAAAATATGTAAAAACACAAAGTAAAAAAAAGTTTTTGTTAAACTGTAAGGTGAGAAAAATAAAACCTCAAGATGTTTTAATAAGTATTAATAAACTTTTTATATTTAATTGTTTGACTTTCGTTTTGAATTGGCATTAGGTCAATACCGAAACGTGATATTGGAAAATATTTAACGAACAGATAAGTGAGATATATTATTGTTATTGTTATGTTGTAGTCTGCCTTAGAGACCGCATATTTTAAAGCGTTCATATTTCAGAGTAAATTTTTTTGACTAACATTATGTAAATCTCAAGTGAGACCTATCTCAATTGTAAATACATTAAAGTTCGCAATAAAGTGAAAAGTACCATATGTCTTTCTTTTTGGGGAAAATTTCAATTTAATCCCCAGTTAAGCTAGTGCGGTGGAAGCACAACCCCACATGGCGATCCTGCTAAATTGTCAAAAAGAATAGTGAATTTTCTGATCAAAAAACAGAAAATGAAATGGAGAACCAACGCCAGATAACCGTGACTTCACGAAAAGTAATTTTTTTCACTTTCGTGAAAAAAACTTACTGTTATTTTTTACCCCACCAGTGTAGGAAAAGATCTCAATAATTGCAAGCTTTTTTGGCCCCAAAAAATGAAATGATCAAAAAACAGAAAATGAAATGGAGAACCAACGCCAGATAACCGTGACTTCACGAAAAGTAATTTTTTTCACTTTCGTGAAAAAAACTTACTGTTATTTTTTACCCCACCAGTGTAGGAAAAGATACTTCTCTTACAAATC